ATATGACTACAATTTTGCAAAAACTTATCACCTACTTGTACAACTTCCAATATCCTTCCCAACAAAGTGTGAAGTGATGCACATATAGTTGAAATTTTAACAAGAAGTCCAACAATTAGTAGCTACGGACACCCTTTCAGGGTTAGGGTAATAGGGTTTGGTTGTCGTTTGCGAAAATGGGAAATGGATTGGAGGCGTGGAGGCCAGGGAATCTGTCGCTGCCTAAACCTAGAAGGGGCGGACGAAGGCTGGGGCCTGGGGGGGGGGGGGGGGGGGGGGGGGGGGGGGCAGAAGGCTCAAGGCTGGCTTAGGCCTCGGGGTGGTGGACTCACCTGGGCCCTGGTGGGCTTTGTCTCTGGGTCGGGGCGGGCTTTACCTCTAGGTCAGTTTTTTAGTTAGCCGGTCTTCTGGTTTTGACACGGTTTTAATCCAGACTTGATTGGTACAGGTTTTTAGCTAATTCTGGGACCAACGACGGTATTGGATTGTTTTACATGCCGGTCTCGGTCTTAAACGACTAGGGTTATACGGTTCGGTTTCCGGTTAAACTAGAAACCCAGACCAAATAGTTAGCCCTAGTTAGAGGTGGCAATTAGGATTCATATCCATGAATCCAATTCAATCTATCCACCAAATTATCCAACTAATCCAATCCGGATTGGTGGATGGAAAATTACGATTTAGTACATATACTTTTTATATTTTATATTTTGCTACCTAAAGTTTATTTTTTCATAAGAAAAATATTATTGAAAAATTACAATTTGGTACCTATATAATATAAATTGTTCATTGTGACATTTTGGAACCTAAACTTTTCAAAATTTACATATTGGTCCAAGGTTTAGATGTCATTTGGATTTATTGATTAATCTACCAATCCATTTTATCCAATCCATCATTCCAATCCATTTTCCCACTGTTCTTAAAGCCGACCCGAGCCGCTCGGCCCGACCGGTAAAACCACCACCCGGTCACAAAACCGGCTCGGAACAGTGTAAAAGCCGCTCCGGTTTTATGTAGCGGTTGGCGAGCGGCCGAGGCGGTTAACTGTTCGAGCCGATCGAGCCGCTCGTCCGGTTTTTGCCATTCAGCCACTAAATTTAATTAAATTTTTTTTAGAAAATTGAAATAAACCAAAAACGTCGGGCTCTCAAATTGAATCCTTATTTCCATTTCACAATTTCGAAGGAAAGAGATGACCTCTGATTAAGAAATGTCCACTATTTATACTGATAACGTTTAAAAGATACCGGTTCTCTAACGGTTTTTAAACGGTCTAATGCCGGTTGGACCGCTAAAGTGCGAGCCGTTCGCATTAACGGATCATGCTCCGGTTCGGTTTTGACAACATTGCATTTTCCACCTCTAAGCACTAGGGGTGGGCATTCGGTCGGTTCGATTTGAACCGAACCGAAATGGTATGTACCGACTTTCCGAAGCTTCCCACACCGCAACCAAATTCGAACCGAAATATATTTCGGTTCGGTTTGATCGAACCAAAATATATCTTAGTTCGGCTCGGCTTTTTGCCATAAACCAAAAACTTCACACATATACTCTCTGTCGTCCCCACTTCCACCCTCTCTCTTTCTCAAACAACTTCTTCTTCCAAAACTCTCTCTCTCCTCTCTGTCTCTCGCTCTCTCGGAGGACACTCTCTCCGACCACACCTCGATTTCCGACTTCCCTCTCCGCCTCTACCCCTCTCTCTGCCTGTCTCCCGCCGCCGACACTATCTCCCGCATCTCTGCCTCTCGCTCTCTCTGAAGAATCCACAGAAGACGTTCGCCACCAATCTCTCTCTCCGCCTCTTGCCTCTCTGCTCTCTCCCTTGATTTTCGTCCTTCCTCTCCGCCTTTACTAACCGCTCTTTGCTCCGCGTCCAGGTTGAATGTGGGCTAGAGAGTGGATGTGGGCTGGGTTTCAGTGGGGGCTGGGTTTTAGTAGGATGGAGAGTGGTTGTGGGTATAGGTGTCAATCGGGCGGGTTCGGGCGGGTTCGGGTTGGGTTCAATCGGGCTCGGGTTCAAACGGGTTGCGGGTTAGTCGGGTTGCGGGTTCATCGGGTTCGGGTTCAAACGGGTTGCGGGTTAGTCGGGTTGCGGGTTCATCGGGTTCGGATTCAGTCGGGTTGCGGGCAAATCGGGTTGCGGGTTCATCGGGTTTTGGGTCGGGCGGGTTGCGGGCGGGTCGAGTTTCGGGTTGTTCGGGCCAGCGCATCAAGTAACTTAACTCATTACTCATTACCAACTTACACATTTTATTACACTAATTTAAAATACTCTCAACTTTTTAACCAATTTATTTCTACCTCGTATATATATACTTTATTTTTTTGAAAAAAACTAGTCAAAATGTTAAATCAATTTATATGACTTGCAAACTTGTTATGTAATTAATCATAATTGGTAAAGTATTATAGCTAATAGTAATAGTGATATCAATATTTGCAACCAAAAGACACCGTTAATTGTTTATTTGATATTTTAGTATTAATTCGGTAGTAATTGGATTAAAGTATATCGTTTAGTATAACCATGCAAATCTGGTATTTGGCGTGTGGTATTTGGCAAAAGCATAGTGATAAAAGGAGTTATTTCAAAATAACTCATTGCCCAAATAAATTTAGTAAACTGTTGCCAAACGAGTTATTTGTAAAATTGTTCGAATTATCCTAAAAATTGAACCATTAAAGATTAGCTATCAAATTTAGTAAAATTATTGTGACTTCAATCATTACTTACTCAATAGCATATATCCTATACACTTAGCTTTACCCTCAATCAACAATATTAAGTTAGTATACGTTGTTGATTGTCTACCGTAAACCATCAATACATTATACACTAACCACATAACCTATACCCTAATCATATGTCCTTGAGTTGTGATTTTGCTAGTATAGTTAATTTAAAAGTGAAATTCATACTTTAATTTTCAAAACATAGATAAAAAGTGATATTTGCTAATTGTTATACCCTAACCATATATCTTATACTTTATACCACATACCTTGTACCCTAACCACGTACCATAAACATAAATTAAAAAGGGATCTCCTGCCGTTAAAGACTTCAAATGACTTCAAGTGAACATATGTTAATAAAAAAACTTAGAACCGTCAAAACCATCAATATCTTGTACCCTAACCATATACACCCTAAACCATATGTACCTTATACGGTTATATCTTATACCCTAACCATATACTTTATATTCTAAACAACGAACCGTCAAAAATTACTTATCAAGTTTAGTATAAATTGTTGTAACTAATGGTTAATTTATTTATTAGCCCATAAAAAATTACATACATATATACATATTAGCCTTCAAAGCATATAAGGATAATTTTAACTAGTCATGTCCTCCATATAAAAGTTAAAGATTCATATTTCAAAAGCTAAAATTATGAAAAACCAAAAAATTGAAAACACCAAATTTGTTTCCTTCTTTCTTTTCACAAAACTAAAATTTCCCTCCTTCTTTCTCCTTCCATACATTAGAAAAACTCAATTTTCCCTCATCTTTCTCTTCCATAAAATTGAAAGAAACAAATTACCCTCTTCTTTCTTCTACAAAAAGTTGAAAAGTCAAAAGTTTCTCTCCTTATTTCTCTTTCATAATCAAAAGAATCAAATTTTCCCACTTTTTTCTCTTCCCACATATCAAAACCACCAAAAATCCCACTTGTTTCTTTTCTAAAAAATTCAAAGAACCAAATTTCCCTCTTCTTTCTCTTCCCAAAAACTTGAATACACCAAAATTTCCCTCTTCTTTTAAAAACATCAAATTACCAAATACATTACATTACTTTATTTATATTTAATTGATAATTTTATTGAATAGTTAAATTATCCAAAATTTTAATTTACATATTATATTAATATTGTCATGATCTCAAGTGACCTTCATGTTTTAATTTTTGTAATTTTCTTAAAATACGTAATATCTAGTGAGTTTCATATTTTTTAAAATTTCTTATACGAAATGAAAAAATAATTTTACTTAAGTTTAGAATGAAAAACTTTATTTTGAAAAACCATGTATTGTATATTTTTATAATTATTCAAGTGGATTGGATAAAATTCAGGTTGAGTCGGTCGGGTTACGGGTTAGTCGGGTTCGGGTCAATTGGGTTCGGGTTAATCGGGTTGCGGGTCAGTCGGGTTGCGGGTCAATCGGGTTCGGGTTAATCGGGTTGTGGGTTAGTCGGGTTGCGGGTCAATCGGGTTGCGGGTCGAGCGGGTTACGGGTTGTTGACTTTTAGTCAATTCGGGTTACGGTCGGGTTGCGGGTCGGGCTATGTTTTGGCACCTATAGTTGTGGGTGGGTTTTAGTAGGCTGTGGGCTATATTTCGGTTTTTGGTTCGAAATTCAAAATTTCTGTTTCGGTTGAGAGCATCCTGGTTTCCGAAGTAAACAGTTTCCTCTTCCGAATTCCGAACCAAACAACAATATATAAGTTTCGGTTCGGTCGACTTCGGTTTTAGTTCGGGTGGTTCGGGTTTACCGAACCGAATACCCACCCCTACTAAGCACAGCAAAACCCAAAACGACAGAAAGTGCACAGTAACAAAAATAGAGGTACAAATTGATATGTAATAATACCTGAACATGAATATTATGATGATGATACAAATTCAATCTTCTAAGCATTGTAAAATCTATCAGGAACATTATACGCCACAGGCGAACAAGTCGATTGTTTTAGGATTACGTATACCTGCCCATAAGGAGGCCAATGGTCTGGGTGAATCATTCAAAATTGACATTTCTCACTATGGAGGAAGGAGGATAAGCCGTCTCAAATCAAGTTCAACATTTATTCGCAACATGTTAACGCAGAACTGGAAACAGGAGGGCAGAATACCTTAACATTGGCATGAAAAACCATAAATCTGATACAAGATCTATCCCATAGTTTGCAATATCTCAGCTAAATGGGTCCATGGCGAACTAAACCCATTTCAGTTTGCTCTTATATAACGCAGGACCTCATGCTGCAGATACTTCAACCATTTCCTGCTCCACAGTGCTGGGCGTAACCGGGTAGTACTTGTAGTGCAATTCACCGACGTCGTCTCCGGATAGCTTCTTCCATCCATTCGGACCCACGTGATAAACTGTAAGTGAAGGTAAAATGAATCAGCCTCATGAAAAGAGCAAGGAACGAAGTATACGCCGAGTGTAGTATGTTAAGGGAGAGAAGGAAAGGTTACCGCTGGCAACTCCACCACTGGCTCCATCACGGAATGTTGCATGGTATATAGCTCTTCTAGCTAGCTCCGCGGCTTCTTCGATTGACATATCATACCGATACCTGATGAGAGTTCAAATTTTTTGTACAGCATTGTTAAACAACATCCATCTTTCTCTCAGTTATATTCGGTCCATAATCTATTTCCACGAGTAAGCACTTAGAACTGTATTTGTCACACATTTTGGGACGGGAAAAATGTCTTTCTGATTTGTCATTAAACGGAAACCAAAGCCAAACCATCTTACCCAACATTTATTGAAGCCAAAGGCCGTCGTCTCTTGACGAAATTGACTAGAAATCGCTATATACATTTACTGGAATTTAAATGGCTTATTAATGGAATTATATAAATTTGAATTTTATGCTTAAACTACTGCCGTTCTTCAAACTTCACTAGCATTTTGGCTCAGTTTTTACTTTCACAAGCTCGGTTATCCAGAGCCAAATATTGCTAACTGTTTACCAAATACTCTTTTTGCATTCAGGTTCACAAATACTTGTTTTTTGGATTCAGTTTAACGAAACCAAAACAATCACAAATCTCATAGAAAAATAAAAGGGAAAGAAATAAATGAGTAGGCTGAGAAACAACACAACTTACCCGCTGTCCAACACACCATAAGCATATGGGGAACCAGATCCAACAGAGAATCTTGGTCCTTTCAGCCTTCCTCCTTCACTATCTACATAATATAGACCCGGACCCTGCATTTCAAAGAGTTCCTCAGCTTATACAGTTCCGAAAGAACTTTCACAAGATCAACAGAGTATTGGGATGGATCATTACTGTTTCATCCCATCCAGCAATCATAGTCCCAACTGAGAGACCCATTCCACGGTAAGAGTAGAGTATGTTAGCAAGGAGCTTCGATGCCCCAGTTACAGAAATCCTCCTCTTGTTTGCCAACTCATGCAGACGGCACTAAGTCATGCCAAAAAGAGTGGGATTAGCTTCACATGATAAGGATATCGACCCTAACAACAAATGTAAGCCAAAAGAACTACAAGTAACTATACTGCGCTGCAAATAAGAGGAATCCTACATACAACAATTGCAAGGGATTGTTATACTCTAGCAAATAAGCTTATTTGCTCTACATCAGTCCCTATACCTGAAGTCGGATCCTTTCAATAAACAAAGAAACCAAACAACTATATTTCATAACCAGCATATAGCATTTGGCAATAAATTGATTCAGTACCTAAATTCCACGCTTAAATGGGTATTCCAGAATCTAGACAATCTCATAACCTCATTCCAGTCCAAGACAAATTAGTAATTCAACTACTCATGAACTTGTATTAAGCATAACATCAGTGTTCAAGAAGACGCGATTAATCTCTCGCCTAGGCGCGATTAATAGTTGGGCAGGAGGAAATTGCCCCGTCTAACCCTGGGCGATTGATCTAGGCTCCTAGGCATTCGGAGGCGCGTTTTCACTCTGGTGGGCGACGCCCAGAACTAATAAAGGGGGAAAGTGTAGCCTTTTTGTGAAAATCCCAAACCCTATTCTATTTCCCATTTCCATTCGATCAGCCGCTCCCCCTAATCGACCAGCAGTGAGATCCCTCCTCATGGTTGGCGACTGGAGATGTTTGATATTGTGAAAAAGGGTTGTATGTGTATATGAATGGATGAATAATGATATCGTGACTTGGGTTTTTGTGGAATATGGCTTATCTATCATATTTTTTTTCAACGTTTAATCTCGCCTAGTCAACGACTAATTGGCCTGGGCGCTGGGTGGTGCCTCCTCGCCTAGATAACGTCTAGCGTCTTCTTGAAGATTGCATAACATCCAAAAGCACATGATACCTTAATACCAAGATTTCTGTGCCAGAACTGACAGTCGGCAGCTCCACCAGCCATCGTACCAAGCATGTAAGGATTGATTTCGATGATCTTCTTCACAGATTGAGAAGCTGGAAAGAACAAACATAAGAGTGTATTCAGCCAAGTTACGAGAGTACCAACGCAAAAAACTGAAACATAAGAGTGTATTCACATCATAATAGAATTCATAACAATAACAGCTTGAAGAAATAGCAGAACTGAGACGTACAGATATAGCCTCCCATGCTGGCTCGAGAATCCGCAGCCACCATGACACCTTCCTTGAAGATGAAAGCCAGCGTGGTTGTACCCTTTGCCGGCTTCACCATCTGTATAGCCTCCTTCTGGAAACCATCGAACTGAAAACCCAAAAGACAGTTCAGAACTGAATCTTTCCCACAAAGCACAAGCGCTGAAGAACATGAAGCTAAAAAAATTGAGAGCTTACATCAAGAGTTGTGGGAAGTTCAAAAGCTGGAGCAGCGGTGAATCCATCGACCATCTGGCAGTTCGCACCGAACAGCGGCAGAGCCGACTCAAGACCAGTCGTGTCAAGCTTCATGATCTGCGAAATAAAGTGAGCGAACAACATTTTATACGATTCAGAACCCCTACAACAAAATATAAGAAATTGCCGTATCTAGGAATGCGAATCCAATTGGAGGGGAGAGCAACTAAATTTGCAGATGAAAAACCCTAGAAAAGCTAGTGCGAGGTGGTTTCAGAGGAGATAGGAAGATCGGATAATCAGAAGCACCTTCTGTTAGATTGAAAGTAGCTTCAATGAGGAGATCGATTTCTGGTCGACGTTGTTCCGGCGGCGACGCAGAAAACGGAGGATTTGATGAATTGATGTAGAGAACGGAATGTCGTCGGAGAAGAGGGAAAAAGGGAAAATATGCAGATCGTTTTCTTGTCCCGCGGGCAAGAAGGAAGGAGGAGTGTACTGGACCTGGGCCGTTTTCTAGAAGATGAAAATATGGGGTGGGAACTGACTGGGCCTGAGCCTGGGTTGGACCTAAAAAATAAACAAATAAATAAATTGAGTTTAATATAATTTAGAATGAGTTGGCGTTCCATTAAATTTAAAGTTTGAACTCGATAATATGATTGATAAGTGCAAACTATAAGGGTTTGGAGCGGCCCGTCGGGTACGTTTGTTTTGGATGCTAAGATTGTTATTTTGTATTTACAAACTAGAAAGTATTGTTGGTTGCTCAACCGTGGGTTAGGTGTTTATAAATTTGTTTCATACTATTAATGAAACTACTAACATTACTGTTGCTCGTTCTTTAGAAACACGTAACTCAAGTATAACGATGTGACTTCCAATTATCCTTGAATTAAAATAAAAGATTAGCAAGTAGTTACAGAAAAGATCTAACTTTACAAATGCACTTATAACTGGAGTAAATTAATATGAACTGAAATGGAGATTAGTGATATTATTGTGCAAGAACTTGGTGAAGATGGTGAAGGCCCAAACTCCTATAATTCAAAACTAGCTTTTACCCGACCCGTTGGTCGCATGAATTTTGTATTATATTTTGTTGTTTTGTATTAACCAATTTGCATATTTTCAAAAAATTTACAGTCTTTTAAATAGTTTATTCATAAAGGGAAAATAATATTTGTGTTACTTTTGAATTTTATATTAGTAAGTAATTAGTTCTGGTGATGTGGCCATCCTAGGTTACTGGTATCTATATTTTTTTATATTTTAGAAGAAAATTTTATACTTTTTTACATTCAATATAAATTGCTTAAATTGTTTTTCTTTATAAGATTTGTTATTATCGATGTACGGATCCATACCTCTTGAATTCCAAAAAAAAACATGTAAAATTTCTAAAGTGAATATAAAAAAGAACAAAATGCTACCGGTTATATTTCATATTCGCTACCACACACGGTGAAAGAACCTGGAAAACAAAAGTCACTGTAGGTCAATTTAATTTTGTTATTAGGCAATTTATCAGTGAAAAGAGAATGAGGCCCGACAATAAAAACTATAGGTTAGCACAATTGTTTGAGCCCAAATTAGATGAATAAAGCAGACAACTCTGAGTTCTCAAAGAGAGCTTTCACAAATATCTAAGGCTAGCAGTTTTAGTAATAGAAAATATATGTGCACATCAAAACTCATCGCAACTTTCAGTTCCAGCCCTAGCCCGCCAAAATATTGATCTTTCCTTCTCCTTCTTTTGCTGCAGAATTTCAATTCACATTCTAAAAATAGAAACATCAGCAGAATCAAGGCTATTTATATTAAATGTTACGTTATAGGGTCTGATTCATCGGCAGGGTGGCTGACCACCTTATTGCCGAAAAACTTGGCAACTTCCCAACCAATTCACCGCTCTCGGTCAAGCGCTCACATCATCCATCATTTATCTATCTAACTCTTAACATATTTGGTTTCTGATCTGGCCATGGCCGGTTAAATGAAGATGTTGAGTTTTGTATCTTGCCCATGGTTGGAACTTGGAAGTGATGGTGGCGGTGGCGGAACATTGGGTGTGATGGGAAGCATTTGTAATTAGGAAATGCACCCAGACCCCAGTTGACTATCTTGGCTGTGAAATTAAAAATAAATTTGTGAACAAAAATAGGTGCATATGTACCCAAAAGAGGGGTAAATTATCAGTTAAAGACTACATCATTACTAAGTCATGATTGAGGAATTAGCATCCACACGAAGTTGGAATCGTCGAAGATTACAACTGGGTGTCTAAAGTGCAAATATAGTAACAATGGGGGAATAACCAAAATCAGCAAGTGTTTGGCTGAAAAACCACAGTGATTTCCATTAAAATTTATCAGGTAAATTGGTGACATGATTGTCTGTAACTGAAATTGGTTTGGTATATTTAAAGGTTCTACTATGAAATAATAGCAAGAGATCACTCAAGAGATCTTGTATCAATGATGAAAATGAGGTAACGATTCTAGTCATATGAACATATAAAACATCAACGAAAGGAGGCATACTGAAAGCATAGTGGAAGATAAGTTGAACAGAATGAGAACAAACTGTAAACTTGTCGTTGTTGAAAATTAAGAGGCATATTAGAACAAAGTTACTAACTGGGCATTGATAAAGAACAATTAGTCTAGGCACGTACCAGCGTAGTTTTGATAATAATGAAACATCTTTGTTGGTGATATAGCAAAGGAGCTTTGTGTTTCACCAATGTCGAAGCGGTGGGAACTGGGAAGACACTACAAAGCATGTTTGGAGTAGGAAACCATGCATAGTCCTTTTTGTTAATGAGAAATTGCAGGCCATGTCAACAATGGCAGAGAAAATAATTAGGAAAAACAAACCAAGTTATTACAAAGAAATAGACACACGCCTTAAGAGTTCTTTTTCAAGTAGATGATAGAACTTTTGACTCCTAAAATAGATAGATTCAGCAAACTTTTTTTTTTTAAGTGATAGATTCAGCCAACTTAATTTCGTACAACTTGAAAGCCAGATCGAACTGGATAAATATCTAAACCAAATAAAAAAATCGAAACCATATAGCAAAAATGACTAAAAGCTTTAAGAATAAAATGTCCCAAACTCCAAAGCGTTATATAATGCAAGTAAAATAGCTTATACTGACAATTCAATTGTAAATGAGTTTATAGGATCATATACTGGAAGGCTCAAACTAATCGCTTCGAAGTGTGGGAATAGAGCTAGTAATAAGGAAACACGTGAATGAATAACATTGAAATTGATCAGATCACACATGATATAATGGTCACCTTCTAGAGCAGAACGACTAAAAGTGAGACAAACGGCTAATAAAGCAGTAGGGAGGAGAGGACATAAATGCACCGACTAACTCACCCGGGGTAAGCATCAACCCCCATAAATTTGTAAGGCTTCATTCGTTGGAGTGATAAACATATATCAGCCGAAAGTGCAGGCCTGAAAGACGACATATGGATCATAGACCCCTACTCTCGAATCATACATACAAACACTGCATATTGAAAGTAGGCTAATGTATCTGAAAATGTAGAATTGATTAGTCTCCCCCACCAAATTACCCTACATTTAGAAAATATGCTAATTGTTTAAACCACTACCAAAAACTCAACCAAAAGAAGCGGTTCATGCATTGAAGCCATATCATGGCAAGAAAAGCAAGTCCTGATTTTGAGAACTAAAACCCACAATCAAGAATTGGAGGACCATGCCAGGAAATAGAAAGAAATAAAGCCAAACCATAAAGAGGAGACTTCAATATCTCGGAAGCCAAGGGTCAACTTTGATAGCAGGGTGGAAGATATAATCGAAACCTGAGCTGAGCAGCATCTGGTGCATTGCCATAAGCCATCCTGCAAATTTGTGCATTTGAGAGCAGCAAGTCAATTATCAGAAAATTGCCAAGAGATTCCACTAAATTAAGGTGAGTAACTCCAAAGAGAGAACAAAGGAATCAAGAAATAATTAAACAAAACATTGAGGTATAACCAACCAAAACAATAGCTTATAAAAAAAGGTCAAAATCCGCAAACCTCCCTCATCATTGCCTATCCGCCATCGAAATAGACCATTAAGACGGGTGTACCATAATCATATATGGGCGGAACCATCCCTGTCTAGGCTAGCATGATCCTCACATGACCTGGAATTAAAATATATACGATGCAACAAATGAAACAACACAAATACATGTGTCAACACAAATACATGTGATCGTCCTGCCAGTTGGTCACATAGGTCGAAACCCTCCTGAAAAACTTGGCCTTGAAAGTGTCCCACACCTGGTACTTGTAGTGGTTGATCACCGACGTCCCCCTCCGCCACGTTCGTCGACTTGTACCCTTCCCTCAGCTTGAAGTGATGCACAATGTTCAGCAGCGTCATGTCGAGAAGGTCCGGTCGGACGAAGGACTTGTGCCTTTCAGGAGCCTGCAGCCTGCAAGTGTAACCTACCGTCACACCTTGCTTCGGCGGTTCTGTCAGCCACGATGGGCCGAAGTTGTGGCACATTGTCCTCACCTCCGCGATTGTGGGCGAATCGGTGTAGTTCGAGACCATGGCGCGGAGCGAGTTCTGCCCTGGCAAGGGGGTTTGGCCACTGTAGTGAGGGAAGTAAAAGAACTCGTCGACGTCGAAGAAGCCGACCCACTTGCACTCGATGTACCCCCAATGCGAGAACCCTGCCTCCTGCGCTTTGATCCACGGCCAGACGTGCCTGGAGACATTGTGATTCCGCGTGTTGAGCTCGTCGGCGACGTCTTGTAGCCCGTCGTCGCTGTTGTTGTCGTAGATGAACCATCGCTCCACTCCCAGCCACGAGTGGTACATCACCCATTCCTTTAAAACCGATGCTTGATTCCACAGCATCGTGCAAGCGCAGAGCTCGTACTTCTCTTCCCCTTTCCCTCTCATTCCGTGGGATTTCGGGTTGTACACTTTCGCCACCGATGGCAGAGCTGCAGGGGAGGCCGAGGCAGGGGAGGCGGCGGAGTCTTCGACGCGGGTGACGTTGACGCGGATTCCTTCGGCAAGCGCGGTGTTGTTTTTCCGGATGAAAGCAGCGGACCACTTCCTGAGCC